CTGGAGGATTTTAAACAAAACTGAGTCTAGCGCTTCTACCTAACAGAACCCCATAGATCCCACCCTTGGATATGACTTCAAAGCCAGCTTCATCTSGAGGACAAAACAATAGATTTTGCCCTTGGGAACTAGAATCCATTTTGTCCTCCATTCCCACAAATCTCAAGGAGTCTGTTATCAAGTAAACAGCAGACCGCGCCTTAATGTTTCCCAGAACAGCTAGTTACATTCTCTTGAGGACTGCTATTATATTGCGCTAAGTTTAAAGTTATCCCCATTTTCATTTTTAACTTATATACGATTTTAACAGCCCAATACCTAGAAGAACGACGCATATTTAAATTCTGCGTTCCCGTTAGGACGACATTTTATTGAGAAATGTTTCTACTCGATTGCACTTATGTTGCTTTTGTGTTATAGACACATGCATTTCCCTTGGAATATCATTTTTTATGCTTCGTGAATAATTCAGTGTTCCTCGCAAAGTGCTATATGTCCAGCGTGTTTATCAAAGGAGTAAGGTTAACCATGTTCAGGATACGTTTTTTTTACATTAATCGCACACACTGCGCTAATCGATTTTGTTATTGAGTCTCAGGTGAAAATCGAACAAAAAAGAAAGACTATGTTTAATTTACTGCTGTGGTTTTCGCTGATACATCTCGTTTCATTGTTTCATCGGTCATAAAGTACAAACTCGAGAAAATGTACTTACTAAATTGTAACAGCTCAATRTGAAGTAAATTAGACAATAGACTGGAAAAAAACAAAAAAAGAAATTCGCATAATATCAGACTATGTTTCTAGATATGAAGTTATAGCAACCCATGAAAAAACACGGTCTTGTAAAGGTAGAATTAATCGATTTTCTAAGTATTTTTCAAGTGGTATGAAAGTGAAACTACATTTACATAGCCTGTATTATTTACAGAGATTTACAAAGCAGCATTCAAATCGTGACTATGAAAATGATCAATGATCWTGCTTAGCTAATACAAAAATCGCTAGTGTCTCCTGATGATCGGCGACAGATGAACAATTTATTTTCTCGATAATGAATAATTCAGTTCTCAAATGTACTTCACCCTGGCTGAACGGAGCGTTARTATGCTGTAGCTCAACTTATTAGCATCAACCAATGACCGCACAGATGTCAGAGGGTTTATATCAATCCTTTTGTACAATAACTGTTTGTCTGGGTGGTAACAAGTCATAACGAATACCCTGCGGGATCGACAAAATGTCGACGGATTATCTGCACTGGGTTCAGGAGCGAAACGAGGTTAGAATTACTTGATTGTTTGTATTTTCTTTCTCTTATATTATTCATCATTTTGAAGACTGTTATTCAGTATTTATACAGTGCTTTTGTACATGTAAATTATGAACAACCTTGGCTCGGTATGCTCCTTTTACTTCTCTCTAACGATGCCAGGTTTCTCAAGAYTGAGACAGTTAATTATAAGTCGTTTTGGAGAACATTACGAACGCTACAGGTCTTACGAATTTCATTTCTTATCATATTTTCAATTTTTATATAATTTATTTTYTAATCCTTGGTTATGTCTTATATATCCCTGATATTACTCAGCTATATTGTGTTCTGTCAGTAAAAAGCAATCTGCATTCAATATCAAATATCCAGGGTTGGCTCTTCCATGTTTCTTGAATTCCAAAAAGTCGGAGAAATAATAGAGCTTTTTTGTTTTAATTAGAGAAATTCATCATTTTGGAATTCCTCTATGTAAATAGAAGATCAACTTGTCAAAATGTTTTGACTTTCCGCCTTCGGTATAGACAATTAATATAAGTCGTTTGAGACTTAAAGCATTGAGTAATAAAGGTTTAAGAACGCTTTTAATAGATTACTGCCAGTGAAGTCAGCAAAACAGCACACGAAAAAATGTTTGAAAACAAAAGAAAGAATATGGCTTATTTTTGGCCTTTTGAGGCTATTTGCATTGCGTACTTTTAATAATTACATATAATTTTTTATTAGTCTAAATTTATTAGAAGTTAGAAACAAAACGATGCAACACCTTACTTATGGGGCTTTGGCGACTGTTTWAGAARCRTTTTCAGGCCTTGTWAGTCGACTCACAGACGTAAATATAAGCTGCATTTCTTYCACTATGCCGGTCATTTTTCGAAGAAATAGAGCRTGCTCTGGACCAATGAGAGCTCGTGCACGTAGAAACAGTGCAAAGACTATTTTTYGCTTGCTGTTTTAGTGAAAGGCTACCCGTTTGTTATGATAAGAGTTAATGTTTTCTGCCTTCGCTGGTTGGATTTTTTTGGTTGTTGTTTTTTTGTTTTTGTATATTGACATATTTATTTCAATCTCTCAAGATATATTTGTATTTCTATTTACAACTTAGGGAAAGACACGTATTAGGCTTCGCTGGTTGGATTATTTGCATTTGTACAGGATGAGTTTTAACTTCAAAGTCAATATTTTTCATCGCATTTTGACACTTAATAAACTAAACATAGATTCATAGCAAAATAAATCTCCACGGAAGTTCGAGGGCAAGGCGTGGAAAAGAAACATTTAAGGTAGAACTTCACCTTAGTACGCTCTAATAGCCGACTTGCGAATTACGCATCAATAGTCACATACAAAGGAATCAAGGCGAGGCGCCTTGCTTTTTTGTGAAAAATCTACTGTCTTCAGCACGGCGCCTCGTCTTGATTCCTTTGTATGTGACTATTGATGCGTAATTCGCAAGTCGGCTATTGCATTGTTTTCTTTTGTGTCTATAACAGTGAGATGCTGTTTATTTAAGATTTTGATTAGTGTTACTGTAATATCTCCTGGTTATTCCGAAATTGAATCAAGCCGCCAATGGCGACACAACTCGAAGATTGTCAGACAATAAATCTGTCTGTATAAAGCCTCTTACGAAGGATAAAGTTTATAGAATCGATGAGCATTAAATCACTAATCGACGTGGAACGGCGGAATAATCCTTGAAATCATCGTAATAGCAATGCTGTATTTATGAGCCATATTCACACAATATCTCCTAAAACGACTTCTGAAATCAACAGATTTTTATACAAGAACTTCCAGACCTTAAAAATCACATTTTGGTTACGGATTTCTAAATGCCCGTATGTTTACAGAAAAAAAAATTAGTGACTAATTAACTAGTCCCCCTCACACATCATCTCCCTCATCTCCCTCCTATAACTCTTCGATTGCTTTAAAAAGGGGACTGGTAACGAGTAAGCTAACGTTCTACTATTAAAATTGAACTTCGCTACTTGAAAGACCACCGTACTGTCATCAGTGTTATTTTCAAGTATTTGGTGAAAATACTGACCGAGAAGCACTTTTGTTTTCTTTAAATTTACAGTAATAAAAGAGAATTTATGGTTTTTGCCATATGCTCCATAGACATCCTTTTTTTCGAATTTCAAACGCTTTCCACTCTAATTATTCATCCAAAAACCCTCAAACTCTGAAGCTATACTAAGTATACTCTTTCTTTTCACGGAATCCGTTTCTGGATTTTTAAAACTCCACCAATTTTTAACTGGGTACCAGTCCGTTTTTGAATTTCGTAGTGGTCATTTAAATGCACGGGTTTTTGACTTCACTCTAAAGGTAGAAATAAAAAAAGAAGTAARAMTKATAAACGCTAGTGACAAGCTAAGGTAGTTTATTGCATGGATGTGTTAGCTGTCTGTCAGAACCACTGGTTGACCAACAGACTCCGTGAGGGAGAAAATGTTAGGACTTAAATAATGATTAGCAAGATTTTAATCGAAACAGAGGGAAATATGTATCTCACGTTTCCGAAGTTGGTGTGTGGTCTTGATGTGTAATCTTGGTGTGTGGTCTTTTTTGCGCTAAATTTAATCATTAATTTGATTGTACTGTATATTATGGTATTTATTAAAATTAAAAAAATATACACCGCAGCTAACATTTTTAAGTTGACAGTTGCCAATCAATACGGGGTTTCCACTTTGTATCAACATTTTCACAGAGTATTCCCTCATTTCTTAATGTTTCATTTCTCAATGTTTCCTTCTTGTGTTACACGAGACGAGTTTTACCGCAATTTTTAAATAGCGATACTGCTCTCCAACATTTAATGCGGTTTGATATAAAAAGCTTTTTGCAGCTAATCAGATTGTCGCTAACCCAATCACTGGGAAGGGAAGGGGTTTCTACAATGAACTAGTTGATTTTTTTACAAAAAAAACCGTGAAATTGAAATTTCAGCAAAATGTTATGACAGGCAACGACCACGCAATTTAATAGTTGTGGTTCAAATTTACTATTCTTATAGTAGATTCTTGTTAGAAAATAGACTTTCAAAAGAGAATGTCAKTTTTTTGTCCCCTTGCATCCAGCCCCGCCCGCGTRCTTTTTCGAAATTATTTGTTGCTTGATTCTTGAAATTTCTTTTATTATTATTTGTGAGTCCAAAGAAAGTTCCGACTTTAATTTGATTGTTCTTGAAGTGCGCATGACACCTTTAATCGCTTTTATCCGAAAGGTAACACGCTGTCAAGCACTTCTGTGAAARAAACGAAAAATATTTTGAATTGTATGTCTGAGTATTAATATAGACATTTGAAAATTAAAAATGCAAATGAAATAACGTCAACTAAGGAATTGGTCCAGAGATTTTACGTTGTTTGTGTTATGTTCTTCTTTGTTGAAGAGCTGAAACCATCAATCATACGTTCTATTTTAAGATTACATGAACTGTTTTTGAGATTTGAAAAATTGTTATGAACTGCTTATTCTAGCAGCCAGTTCTTGCACACTATACCTTTGCATTTAACTACTTTAGTTAAACATTTAATTTAGGTCCGCATTATTATTAACGAACCCCCCCCCCCCCCCCCCCCCCCCCTGTTTGTAAGGCAGGCTATGGGCCTGGACATAGTAATATTTGGGAGCTGAATGCTTTTTTTATTTAACAAAAGAATAACGTCCTCTTTCATGATTTTGTATCCTTAGTAAACGTCACTTCATTTACATTTTCTAAGTTTCAATTGCCCRTATATAACTTAGAAGGCACAGGTACTTAGGTACTTAGCAGCATTTTCTATTTTGGATTAGAATGAACTTCTAATGGTGTCATGTGTACTTTAAGTAGCAAAGTAGTGCGAGGCGTTTTACACAGCATGGTGGGCTTCAATAACCCGTGAAATACGCTTATACGCACTAAACTTTATAGCTCTTAGTAGTGTTAGTACTTWATATGTGACACGCATTAACAAGCTTTGACTATTATAGTTTGCTGCACAGGTTAATGAAGATAGTATTTATAAACCCTTGAAACGAATAAGTAATAGTGAAAGTGCAATATTGTGTGATAGACAGGAATGACGAAAAAAATATCGTGAAGAAAATAAAGAGAAACACAGAGATTAAGCCATGTTAACGAGAAGTTTCATAGATTATTTATAGAATGTTTGATGTACACGTAATTGCAAAAACGTTTTTCTAAAGACGTAGAAAAATTAAAGGAATACATTAAATAGACAATGAAAAGCGTCCAGACGTCCCTTTTTAATGTCMGTATATTCCTTTTCAAACTCAAATATCAAAATAGTTCTGTTTATTTGACAACGTATGGCATTATTCATGCTCAACTCTGATTGGCTGTTGACTATCTTGAGTAAAGAGGCACGACTTGACGTCCACCGTCCTTTTAATATTTTATCTGAACAAATAATAATTTTATCAGAAATTGAATTTTAAAATGTCAATCAAGGATGGATTTCTAGTAAGAATTGACTTAGTTATTTGAGAACGATCTGAGCGAACTAATGGCAAATCTGTTTAAATATGACGTTGCTATAGAGTGGGAAAGGAGAGATGAAATGAAAAAAAATGAAATAGAGAAGATTGGGATGCCGGCGCGCAAGACAACACAGCAGTTCACTTCTACATGCACTTTTTAAATGGGGTTATGATATTTGCTCTTCCTGATACGTTTAAGCACGTAAACATTTTTGTATTTAATTTATTCATTTATTTTTTTATTTTTTTCTACCAGAGGGGAAAAAAATTTAAATTCTAAATGAWATCTATAGATGTGTATGTGCTGCACGAAAAAAAATTGCAAGTTTACCGAGTAATTTTAGGCCCTTCATTGTGTAAATCCCTAAGTGACAGCGTCTTTCACCGATTTTATGATTAATTTTGAAAGCTACGAAATAATGTAAGCCAGCTCTTAGATCAATCAATAGAGACGAATTTATATCATAAATTTAGCCGAAATTCCTTATTGTTCCACAAACCATTACCGCACTTACAGTACTTCAAATGCCGGATACCAACACAGGCTGTTCAGTGCGACGGATATACTTGCACAATATACTAGATATTATCAAATAAATGACTCCATATCTGAAGTGCTATAATTGATGAACTAAAAGAAAGCTTTTGGCTTTAATTGTTATTGACTTTCCTCGAAAAATATATGTTTAAAACACTTTGATACGGAAAAGATAAAGTGCGAGTCCACTTAAAAGGATTTATAGAAGTAGATAGGTCATATACAGTGGATGTTTTGGGTTACACATAGTATTTCTTGACATTCACACTGATGTATAAAGATTTTTGATTGATTAAACACAGAAAAAAAGCCATTTATKAGAAACGAATTCATCATATCAAGCTGTTTTCGTGTTGTTAGTCGATGTGGCATGCTGTATAGAGCAGGGAGATACGTGTCATATAATGTTACTACGTCTATATTAATTTACAAAATGAATACATCGGAAGAGTTGAGAGTTCCTTTTCCTCGCTGGGTAAAACTCAATTTTCCTGCTACCAAATTGTGTATATTCATCAAAACAAACCTTTGAAAAACAGAAAAACAAACTCATATTTCTTTCGGGGGGTATAGAAGTTTAAATATATTTGACAAAAGCGAGGTCTTGTGATCCAGACATAAACAGGTGCATAATGCAACAAATTAGCTTTTTTTAATTTACATGTAATAAACGTTTGTTTAAAGAATAAAAATCATCTCTCCGTTACGAGTCACGTGGAAATTCTAGATTCTCACTGGAAATCTCGTGAAAATTTYATGAAGGTAAACATTGTGCTCATTGTCGCCCGCTCAGTTGTCATAATAGCGACAAGATATTACAACTTGYCTTCAAAAAATCGCTGCTTTAAAGGCTAATTCTCTAGCCATGGCAAACGAAGAGCTTAGAGAAAAGAATGTCAATAACCAAGGCATACGAAGATCAGTTTTAGATTTTCTTCATCACATTGGTGATGGCAATGTTGGAAAGACTACTCGGCATGATTTATTTTCGGTAAGTTCAACATTCATGTTAATAGGATTTATACACGACAGTGTTGACCAGAATACTTTATTCAGAGTAATAATATATAGAGATGGTTATTAATAGATTCAAAATTTAAGGTRAAATTGGTTTTATTCATTACGGTAYAAGACCGTCTGTTTGCAATGTTTATTTGCTATTCAATTTTCTACTAAAGTACTACGTATAGTATTCACTCTATTTRACATATGAAAAGTGGCACAAAGCTAAAAGACATGCAAAATACGCTGATATTTTGCTGCGAGCATAAACTTTTAATATTCCYCAGTCATTAATCAAAAACATAGATTCGAAAATATTTTTCCTTATCAAAGAAATCTAGTGGCTGTAGTGAAAAAACTATTTCTGTCAGGCAACCAATGAGATAGGAGAAGGAGCTAAGTAAGAGAAAATAGATTGAGCTTGTGATTTCATCGATGGCTGATGGCRATCGTGATATTTTGTACGTGCCAATACAGTATCATTTCAAGTCATGCCAATCTTTGTGGGTTTTAAAGCGGTTTTTTTCATTTTGAACATTGATTAACGTTTTTTGATCTACCACATGCATGTTTATAGGAGTTGATCGATATCTTAAGTAAGGGAAGCGACAAAAATTTACAACCGTCGCTAGAATTTGCGGTCATCGTGAGAATATTTTGTTTGACYGCGTCAAGGATTCGAAATTCTAATCTGTATCAAATTTGACAACCATTCTAGAAAAAAAAGACCCGTGATATTGTTTCGATACAACTTCGATAAGGATTCGATCTGAGCGTGATTCAGAATCGAAAACCATCACTAGAAATATGAGAGTTATGGCACTGTTTCGATACGACTTCGATAAGGATTCAATCTGAACGGATTCAAAATCGAYTACCATCTGACTAGAAATGAGACTTGCGATACTGTTTCGATACGACTTCCAAAAGGATTCGATCTGAACGTGGTTTCAAAATTGACAACCATCAGACTAGAAACAAAGTTTGCTGTACTATTTCGATTCGACTTTGATAAGTTTTCGAACTTACCCTCTGTCAAAAATGCCCAACTAYTTCATAGAAATGAAACCTGTTTGGATATACTATTTCGATAGGATTTTGATTTTGTATTGTCATCAAATTGATAACCATCACTAGGTTGACTTTTGCGATACTGCTTTGATAAGACTGCGAACTGAACCTGCATCAATATTGACAACCATCATTACTCGGGCTATCCGGAAAGCAGGTCAGCCGATTATATAGAACATTTCTCCTTGATAAGGGGGAGCAAGGGTGGTGGAGCGTTGATAGGGCCGGTCTGTCACCGCTGTGGTCTCGTGTTCGATTCTGACTTGGGATCATATGTTGCTTGAGTTTGTGGTTTCCGTCCTCTCCCTTGCTTTGAGGGTTTTTTTTCCGAGTTCTCCGGTTTTTCCTCCGGTCGGTTGGTTGGCTGCTTTGTGTGTGTGTTGTAACTATGTGATTGTCCTCGTAATGATAGAGCGGATTTCGTATGAGTGGGAAACGGACGGTACTGTACTGTGACCGTAATCGTACTGTAACCAAATTCTAGTGCGCCATTGGTTCACCAAAATTTTGCAGGCCAGGTCCGGAAACTGTGCGGTAACCGTGCGGTAACGGTGTCCCACTCATACGAAATCCGCTTTAGCGCCCTCATATACCGCATAGCCGACTCGATCACGTGATCTGCCTCCTTCGTAATTCAGCACTCGGGCTGGGAGGAAGGGCGATTAGCTATCACCAATTGTTATTATTAATGTTATAAATTCAGATCTTTTAAGGGGGCATAAAAAKATATTCTTAAACCATCAATCAGCGAGAGGGCTACAAAAAAGACAAATAAAAAAATAAAATTCGAATCGTCAAAGCATCCCTCACAACGATGTCGAAGATGCCTTCATGTGGCAATTATGTTTATCACACTCACGTAGCAAGATTTGATMAAATTGCATGTTCTCGATCACGGAGGTCTCTAAAACGCCGCAGACCTGCGTGACACGTTTTAAATAACATTCGCCCAAGCGTCAGGAGATAGAATATCGCGAGCWTGTGAATTCTTTATACTGCAGCCCGAGTAAACACTCTGCGAGTGTCGGGTTAGACTTGTGATACTGTKATGTTTCAATACGAATACGATGCAGATTCGATCAATTGACAACCAACCCATGCACTAGATATGTGACTTGTAATAGCCGACTTTAGATATGTCGGTTAGTTATCATGCACAAAAGAAATGCAGACCTRGCGTTTGGGAAATAAAAGAATAAATCAAGATTATCAGGCTGTGTTGCCCCGGAGCCTCGTCTGAAATTCTTGTTTTTGTATGGATACTAAACGAAAATATATAAAGTCGACTATTCTGTTTTATGGATGTGTTAATTTCCGGCCCTCCGGGAATGCAATTGACTGATGCATAACATCGTCGACTATAGTGATCAACTAAAAATTTTGGAATTCATTTAACTGCTCCTCAGTTAAAAGTTAAACCAATTTATACCTTGTTCTAATAAAAAAAATATGTATATTGGCCATAAGTCGTATTTTCATTTAGAAAGCATAAATTGATATTTTGACTGATGCCATTCTTAACTCAGTTAATGTTGCCGTAGTAACGTAAAACAAAGTCATTCTTCGAAAATTAAATGCATCTCACGTTTTCGATGGATTTCAGAAAAGATGTAACGATCAGAATGTGTAAAGAAAACAATGGGCAAACAATAGATAAGTCTTCCAGAAAATAAAAATGAAACTAACCAAAAATAGTCAGTAGTGCAATACTAAAGGAGTTATTAAATCAGGTTTCGATAGGTACTGTATTACCGCAGAAAAATGATGATATGGTCGAATTGTTAAAAGCACAAATAAGAATTTATATTGCAAATTATATTAACTTCAATGGATCGCCCCGACACTCGAGCCAGAATCGCAAAACAGTAGTTTCTGAGTTCACTAGCACTTCTCGTTATTAAGGGAAGCTCTTGAGATATTGTTTTTAGTTAGAGGGTTTGAATTTGTTCGAGAATTCGCTTGAGACGTCATATTAATCTTTGTCATGAAAAAAAGCTGGGCTTTGTGGCCTCGTTTTAGTGTTTGGAGCCCAGTCTCCCATCGATTTTTTTTCCGCCATTATAAACGTGTATGTGATTCTATCAGAAMTTGGTACCATTCTTCCAAAAGGACCCTTGACACTTGATCAAATTCAATTAGTACTTTAGTCAAGGATATTTCCAATATTTCGAATTATAAACAACCAATTATTATGACTTCATAGTGACGGTGTAAGACGTCTTATAGTTGCAATTGAGTATATATAAGGAACAACTACCATAAACAATTCCTTGATTGGCCCCAGTCTGTTGTCTCTCAGATAAAGATACGTTTCAGTACGTGGCGGAGATCATGGAAGAGGGGTATGGGAGCGATCGTTAGATAGGAAGAAATCCCCCTCCGTGCCCTTACTCCTCCCCTGTCTCTACCTTAGTGACTCACCACTTTGCGACTAGCGACAAATTACCCAGCTTAGCAACAAATCAAAGGACTGTTATAATAAGATTTTTCAGTACTCTTATTTTTTTGAGGGGGATGGGATGTATGAGGAACTATATTAGTGATTATAATTTTTGATATATAACGTGCGCTCAGATTGGCTGACGGACGTACTTTTATATCAGAGGACAGAGAAACACGCGCCGTTTTATATAGTTTACGTAATTAATTGTGTTTAAGAAATATAAAACGGCGCGTGTGTCTCTGTCCTTTGATATAAACTAACATGTTATCTATTATCTAAGAATGTAACAATGATGATCACACTTTTGAGAAATAATTACGATCAAGTATAGTTTACAACATGAGCGGCCGTGTTGTATGGGAATTACAATCTCGAGCCGCAGGCGAGAGATTGTAAAAATTCCCATACAACACGGACGCGAATGTTGTAAACGACTTATAAAACTCCAACACAAATTAACATGAATTACAGTGAGATAAATGACGAAAAATGACAAATAAGGTAACTGCTGAGTTTAGTCCCTATTAAGCATGCGCAATTTACTGCAACACAGAACATTTTGAATAATTATCCATCCCACATGGAAAGCARGCCATCTGTTGCATAAGCGAGTTCTGTTATCCGTCTTTGATTGCTTCAAAACCTAGTGAAGGTCTATGATGCGACACTAAAACTGAGACCTTTGCTAGTGTTGGGTTGTCTCAATGGTGACGACCGTGTTGTAAATCTGATACAACACTAGTGGTTGTATCAGATTTACAAGGTCAATCACCTGATTAMAYKGTCAGCCCTTATTGGAGCAATAGCTTATGCATTATTAATAAGTTTTATAAGTAAAGTATACAACGTAAACAAAAGACAAGCACGATCATAAACTCAACCCCCCCCCCTCCCCCCCCAAAAAATATGTTTGAATGAAAGGGTTTTTTTGGGGTGTACTCATATGGTGTTGTGTCCCAATTCTTCCTTTTCATACCTCACAGCGAAACTTCAACAAAGGGTTTCGCATTAGTATCTATTGTTGATTCCTCCAACATGGCCGCCGGTCTTTTATTTTTTGAATCTCAAGSGAATGGTTGAAGACTATCAATTGACAGCTTGTTTTTTTACGATGTGCACCCTATAGGTGCGCCCTTGTTCTTAGCACGTGTGTATTTTAACAGGCAATTAATAACGTGTTCACGATGATATGCGGGCTCTGTCGTTATTTAGAATTTTATGTAAAKCGATGGTARGTCTATTATATGYGGTTTTGAAAATAGCCAGATTCGTTAAAACAAGGTGTRGCTTATACTAATTAATATACTGCATTCTTGACCATGTAAACGAAAAAACGAGCAACTTTTGTATATGATAGAATGTGGCTAAAACATCGACCTACCATATTTGGTCAAACATGGATTATTAACCATTAATCATATTCTAAGCAAACTTTCATTAAAAATTAAAAATACCACTGAACTCAAACATAGGTT